AGGGAAGAAAAGGCTTCGTGAGCCATGGTTTTCCTAGGGATATGGAGCTCTCTCTGCATTATTAACTCCAGAGAGAGAGCACAAGTCAAAACTCATTCAATAACTCCCAGGGAGCTCGGATGGCGAGCACAGGTGCCTGCGCGCACAGCTGGACACGAACGCAGAGATGCTCTGGGCTCTGCGCATGCGCATGCGCCAGCCCAGCAGGTCCTGCATCCCCAGCATCACCGCGCAGAGATGCGCAGGTCCCTGGGAGGGACCAGAAAACGCCATCCTTCCCACAGCCCAGCGCTGAACACCGCTCCTCCCCTCCCCTCCCCTCCCGCAGGGGTCAGTTACAGAGATGCAGACCTGCCATCTAGTGACCGAGGAGGGAAGGGCAAGGGGAGTGACAGGAAAAAGAAAAGGGACTTAAAAAAAAAAAAAAAAAGAGGAGTGAAGCACTGAGTAACATGGACACGAGTGGGCCCACCAACGTTAGAGTCAAGGTTAAGACGTCCAGCGGGGCTCATCGGTCTCTACGCCTCTCAAACCTGTCTTGACGCCTGATTCTTATAAATGGCATAGTGCTGGGTGATGGTTTTGTTGTTGTTGCTGTTGTGCCCTTGCCGGCAGGCTCAGTGGTTAGAGCATCCACCCCCACACCCAAGGGTCACGGGTTGCATGACCAGTGAAGGGCAGGTACCTGGGTTGCAGGTTCAATCCCAGGGAGGCAACCAATTGATGTGTCTCTTTCACATCAATGTCTCTCTCTCTCCTTCTTCCTCCCCCTCCCTCCCTTCCACTCTCTCTAAAAATCCATGGAAAAAATATCCTCAATGGCCCACAAATGTTTTCCTCTCAATTAGTTCATTACATTTTCCAGCTTCTAGACCAGGGGTGGCGAACCTATGACACGCGTGTCAGAGGTGACACGCGAACTCATTTTTTTGGCTGATTTTTCTTTGTGAAATGGCATTTAAATATATAAAATAAATATCAAAAATATAAGCCTTTGTTTTACTATGGTTGCAAAGATCAAAAAATTTCTCTATGTGACACGGCACCAGAGTTAAGTTAGGGTTTTTCAAAATGCTGGCACGCCGAGCTCAAAAGGTTTGCCGTCACTGGTCTAGACCCTTCAGTGACCACAAGAAGAGAAGGTGTGACATTTAAATCAATCGGTTTCACCCTTGGGTTTCTGAGCCGTAACATCAGATGTGTTGAAATCACTCAGCTCATCGAGTGTCCTGCTTATTACAATATATTTTACCATGGTTGACAGCGCGAGGAAAACAGAAAACCACTACAATTTTATGCAGGTGGATATATAGGTTACATTATGACAGCTGGGATCGTGACATAGACAGTGCTGTCACACGTGCTTTATCGCAATCGATAAGACAGATGACTTTTTGTCCGAGTTTTCTTCAGCGTTATCATATCCAACAAAGAACTCAGGAAGCTATGCCTCGGGAATAAGAATTTGGGAAAAAATCCAATATAGAATCTCAAATCACAATTTAGTTGGGCCTCAAAAAAACTGTTTGAGCTGGAAAAATAATGAGAGAATATTTTTGAGGGCACTATTTTCCTCACTTATTTCTAACTGTATTTCTTTACCTCTTTTTATCTTGCTTCATCTTCATCACTATTGGCTAATCACTAGAAGATCAATTAAATGACCATCGGCTGAGTCACCACACGTCTCCAAGGGTCTCCGCTCTGACGAGAACACGCCGGGAAACCCCGTTTGACGACACTCTTTTAAGAATGTCTTTACTCTGAGGATAATGACCAACCTAATGACGTTTTTTTGAAAGCACAGTGAATTATAAATCGAAGTTCCTGACCCGGGTTATATCCTCATTTCTCGTCCAGGGGGCGCACAACTGCCATGTATGAGGCAGGACAGCTTCTTTTTAAAAGGGAAATCGTTCTACACTTGGAAAATCCTCAAAAATCGCCAAAGTCTGTAACTTCACAGAGAAGAACACTGTGTCCCAAGTAGCCCAGGTATGTGGGCTAAGTAGGGCTAGAGCTACACCTAGAACCCAGTATGTCTTCTTATTTTCTACTAGACCACACTCAAGAGAAGACACTCTTACTTCTTAATTACTCAGTAATTGTTAGCGCTAAGTTATTTTCAAAAGCGTAGTTGGGAGAACGTATAAATAAATTTTCAGTGCAGCCAGCGTGGCTCAGTGGTGGAGCCTCAACCTGTGAACCAGGAGGTCACGGTTCAATTCCCGGTCAGGGCACATGCCCGGGTTGTGGGCTCGATCCCCAGTAGGGGGGCGAGCAGGAGGCAGCCGATCGATGATGCTCTCTCTCGTTGATTGAATCCTCAAAAATCGCCAAAGTCTGTAACTTCACAGAGAAGAACACTGTGTCCCAAGTAGCCCAGGTATGTGTACACACTAAGTAGGGCTAGAATTACGCCTAGAACCCAGTATGTCTTCTTGTTTTCTACTAGACCACACTCGAGAGAAGATACCCATCTGACTTCTTAATTACTCAGTAATTGCTAGCGCCAAGTTATTTTCAAAAGCATAGTTGGGAGAATGTATAAATAAATTTTTAGCGCAGCTGGTGTGGCTCAGTGGTGGAGCCTCAACCTATGAACCAGGAGGTCACGGTTCAATTCCCGGTCAGGGCACATGCCCGGGTTGTGGGCTCAATCACCAGTAGGGGGGCGAGCAGGAGGCAGCCGATCGATGATGCTCTCTCATCGTTGATTGTTTCTCTCTCTCCCTTCCTCTCTGAGATCAATGAAAAAATATATTTCATTTAAAAAAATATATCTTCTTACCTGTTGAACAGCATCTGAGCAAGTTTTCAGAGTTTCCAAAACAGCAGCCTGCGTTTCTGGGTTAGAAAGGAAGAAGGCAATCAATCTACTACAGATCCAATTTTCCCCTTTCTTCGATCAGAAAATAAAACTAACTAAAAATCTATCTTTAACCATTGGTCTCCAAAACACCCAGCTTATCTTCTGATTATACTTTTGTATTCTGAGTACAGGACCGCTTTTCCGTAGATAAGACACATTTATACTGACCGACACTCATGCCAACGTTCCTTTTAAAACTGGGTTAGTTAGGCCTACGGCCCTGATTGGTTTGGCTCAGTGGATAGAGCGTCGGCCTGTGGACTGAAGGGTCCCAGGTTCGATTCCGGTCAAAGGCATATACCTTGGTTGCGGGCACATCCCCAGTGGGGAGTGTGCAGGAGGCAGCTGAATTGATGTTTCTCTCTCATCAATGTTTCTAACTCTCTGTCCTTCTCCCGTTCTCTCTGTAAAAAATCAATAAAATATATTTAAAAAAAAAAAAACTGGGTTAGTTAGGCCTACGCCCTCTTGACACGTCAATCGTAGTGACTTTTCTCAAGTGCTGGTTACTATTTTGGGCCAGAAAATACCTGCTGAGCCATTCACTTCTTAGCTGACTCACTTCGCTTAAGTCTGCACAACACGCCTTCAGAACATTCCAGGCCTACCTGGCTTGGCGTCCTGGGCCCTGGGCGCCTCATCAGGGGCGTCGGGGGGAGACCACGCAGACGGGGCTCGCCTGGGAAACCGCCCTTCCGTGTAGTCCAGGGAGTGTGTGGGCTGACTAACGGCAGCCCAGGTGTAAAGCTGATCTTGCTAGATTTAAAAATGAAAATAAACAGGTGAAAGCTATTCGTTCAACCACCGAAAAAATGACATCCATGTGGCTGATCTGTTACAACATCATTCCGAACCTAAATGTGCATGTGGGATGCATGTATGCAGGGGTGGGCATTCGTAGGTTTACGGTTGTGCGTAGGTAAAACACAGAGTTTATTCTTGGATTATTATTTATTCACTAGAGGCCCGCTGCACGAAATTCATGCAAGAGGCTCAGCCCTCGTGGCCCCAGCTTCATCGGGTAGGTCATCTGGATGGTCGTTCAGCTGTTCGGCCATCCGGTCTAATTAGCATATTACCCTTTTATTATTATAGATTATTGCATCATTTATTTGTGTTGCAACTGTAGACCTACTTTCGCCCACCCTGTAAATATCTGCATCTGTATAAAACATGAAAAGAGCATTTTATCCAGTTCAACGTAGATTCATCACACACCTTCCTTCACACACTCATTTCATTTTCTTAACCATGCTTGCCTCCATCTCTTTTTTTACAGAAAAAGCTACGGTTTCTTTGAACGTGGAGATGCCACGTGGCCTGCAGGGAATGATAAAATCAGAGAATCCAGGCAGGAGGACTCCCTGGACTCGCATCCATATCCATGGGAAGGTGATGTCCCTTTAAAACCTGATTAGTACTTGAGGCACCGACTTAGCTCAGGCTGACCGTGGCATCACAGGCCAGAACAGCCTCCTTGCACGGACACAAAAGGCCAGGAAACCCACTTATCTTGGGTCCAGGTTGGGACGTGTGTGGGAGGAAAACCATAAAAAAAATGAATGAACCCACCCAACCGGCGTGGTTCAGTGGTTGAGCGTCAACCTATGAACAAGGGGGTCTTGGTTCACCGATTCCTGGTGAGGGCACATGCCCGGGCTGTGGGCTCCATCCCCAGTAGCCATGGAATACTACTTGGTGATAAAACGAAAGAACCTTTTACCCTTTCCGACATCATCGATGGACCTGGAAAGTATTACGCTAAGTGAAACAAGCCAGGCGGAGAAAGACAAGTACCATATGATTTCACTTATATGTGGAATCTAACGGGCAGACTCAACTAACAAAACAGAAACAGACTCATAGATACAGAGAACAGACTGACAGCTCACAGAGGGGAGAGGGCTGGGGGGCTGGGTGAGAACGGTAAAGGGATTAAGGAAAAAAAAAACATGCCCTAACCGGTTTGGATAGAGCGTCGGCCTGCGGACTCAAGGGTCCCAGGTTCAATTCCGGTCAAGGGAATGTACCTTGGTTGCGGGCACATCCCCAGTAGGGAGTGTGCAGGAGGCACCTGATCGATGTTTCTCTCTCATCGATGTTTCTAGCTCTCTATCCCTCTCCCTTCCTCTCTGTAAAAAATCAATAAAACATATATTTTTTTTAAAAAAGACTCAGACAGATAACAGGATGGTGATTGCCAGAGGAAGGGGGTGGGGGTGGAAGAGGGTAAAGGGAGGACAAGTGGTAACAGAGAAACGTGATTTGGGGTGGTGGACACACAGCGCGGTGTGCAGATGATGTATTATGGAACTGTACACCCGAAATGTGATTGTGTTGACCAATGTCACCCCAATATATCCAATAAAACAATAAAAATTAATAATTCTTTAAAAATAAAAACTATTACAATGAATCTGGCGAGGCTGAAATTTTAAACTATGTCCCGGCCACTCTGTGAACTTGGAATTGAGCACTACGTATTTTGTGAATTCCCTTGCCATCATTTGAAGTCACCAGCAGAGGGCAGAGCAAAACATTTCATCCTTCGATCCCTGGGCATGAATGAGGAGAAATGACAAAAAAAAGAGGCTGAGTTCTATTTTTGACTGAAATCCAGCACCTCAGTTGCTATATTTGCGTATATGCTGAGCTGAGAGGCGTGCGAAGAGGAAATGTCAACCCAATGTGCTCTTTGGGAAAAAACGTGAGACTAAAAATCAACCTGCAATGGAATAACTTACTGTAGAAGAAATGCTTAGAATCAACAGGATAAAGAAATGGAATAATGTAACATTATTAGTTTATGCACAACACCTGATGTACAATTAAATAATTAAATGGCTTACAAATAAATTCAGAAATACTTGGCATATATGGCAAGAGTAGATGTTAAAATATCTGTGAAAACGAATCTACAGAAATAATTTTATCTCTATCCATATGTGCATTCATAGTAACTCCTTAATCTATAATGCATACCCTACAGACAAGGTTATTGAAAAAACTTTTTAATTTTTCTATAGGGTTATTGGAAACTTTGATTTTATTCTGTCTTCATTTTGTCTAACGTCAATGTTCCACAACCCCTTGTACTTCAAAAGTATATTTCAAAAGAACATGCTTATAAATATATAAAGGAAGAAGCAAAAGGAAGAAAAATCCCTGGCGATTTTTGCCTGGTGTTACAACATCATATAGGATTAAATTTAATATTTTTTTAGGATAAGTTTCATTCGGTTACATTTCCAGGTCTGAATATCTGCCTTTTCTATTTCTCAAGTTTTTTTTCAAACAAGAACAATGAAAGAGTTCAACAGAGAGAGAGTTCCTGTAAGAAATTAAAGGAAGGTAACATTAGTCCCACTGAAGATTCTGTGAACTACCTGGACCAAATCTCTCTCTCTACTCTCTCTCTCTCTCTCTCTCTCTCTCTCTCTCCCATAGCAGCTTCTTAATTACACACAAAAAGTGAGCCAAAGGCTTAATGAGCAGCCGAGGGAAAACATTCCATCATTAGGCTTAGTTCTAGCACAGCAGTGGAGCTACAAACTCTTGAGAATTCAAAGACAGGACTTCCTTGGAGTTCAAGAAAAAGGCCACGGGCAGCTCCCACATCTAAGCCACAACTAACACCCACAGAACACGTTCTCTAGAGCCAGGCTGCCCCAAACCTCGCTGATCAAATATCCCTGTATCCAGAGTCCAACCTCACACCCAGTCCATCCGACTCTGACACTGGAGCCCAAGAATTAGAATTCTGGGAAGCTCCCCTGGTAGCAAAATCAGGTGGGAGAGAGAAACAGGAGACGAAGCCACAGACTCGGCCAGGAGGTAGCCAGCGGAGGGCCTCCTGGACCCTGCGTGAAGCTTAGGTGCTATCCTAACAGCAAAGCATCTACAGCAGGTGGAACATGATCACCCTTTTCGTGGGGAAGGACATGGAACCACCAGGCTGCTAAGGAGGCCACCACATCAGCCCCAACTCAGGATGAAGGCGGCTCATGGCTGAGTGATGGCGGAGAGAAAGAGAACAAGGCCGAGTGTCTGGATGCACCTTTGCATCAACAGGATTCAGTGAGAGACAGAAGAGCTCTGGGGTCAGCTTTCTTAGGTTTGAATCCCATGCCTGCTGCTTACAAAACTATTTTTAAAATAGTTTTCTTTAAGGCCCCAGCTGGTTTTGCTCAGTGGATAGAGCGCCGGCCTTTGGACTGAAGGGTCCCGGGTTCGATGCCGGTCAAGGCCACATGCCCGGGTTGCACCGATCGATCCCCAGTAGGGGGCGTGCAGGAGGCAGCCGGTCCATGATTCTCTCATCATTGATGTCTCTTTGTCTTTCCCTCTTCCTTCCTCTCTGAAATCAATAAAAATATAGTTAAATATTTTTATTTATTTATTTTTATTTTGAGAGAGAGAAGAAGGAAGAGGGAGACGGAGAAACCTCGATCGGCTGCCTCCTACCTGCCCCCTTCTGGGGATCAAGCCTGCAACCCGGGCGTTTGCTCTGACCAGGAATCCAACCAGCAACCTCTCAGTTCATAGGAAGACGCTCAACCAACTGAGCCCCGTGGGCCAGGGCTCACAGAACCATTTGAGGGGCAGGTTGCCCTCTCCTGGGCTCAGTTTTCACATCAGAAAGCGATCTGACCCTCACCTTACCTCAGGCAGCCGTCCACTCACCTGGCTACACTCTCAACCACGTCATCACCAAAACCCACTTTACCTGCCAAGAAAAATACATGTCGGCATCCTCTCTCAACCTTCTCCTCCTCCGGACTTGCAAGTCCTCCCTCCCCTGCTTTCCACCACCCACGCCCTCTGGTCTTGTCTTCTAGCTTGTAGCCCGCCCTTTCCTCCACTCCCACACCAACATCCTCAACTCTCACCCTCACTAACCATCACGACGCACCCACCTGGCCAGCTGGCCTGGCTCAGGGGTTGAGCATCAACCTAGGAACCAGGAGGTCAGGGTTCAATTCCCGGTCAGGGCGCAAGCCCGGGTTGCGGGCTCCATCCCCCAGTGTAGGGTGTGCAGGAGCCAACCCATCAATGATTCTCATCATTGATGTTTCTATCTCTCTCTCCCCCTCTCCCTTCCTTTCTAAAATCAATAAATATATATATATTTTTTTTTAAAAAAAAAGGTGTATCCACCTGGGCAAAAACGCCTACCTGAGATCAATGCAAAGTTTTACCTTTGCCATCCCTAGTGCTGGGACAGAGCCATGACCGTCCACGTCGCTGCCCTCCTGAGCATCCCTCCGTCATACTTCTTAAAGACCGGCCTCCCGTACCCCTCACTCACCCAGTGCAGAAGGTGGCACCTCCTGGTTCACGGAGGAGGACTCCGCCAGCAGCACTGCCTCACCTTCCCAGCATGCACCTGAAAGAGCCCGCCCCCATCCCTCTGGACCCTCCCTCCCACGTTTGTGTTCACCCAGGTGTCCCTACTCCTGTCCCAGGCCAAACCCCCCACCTGGGCCAGCCTCCCATCCCTTCCCGCTTTCTCAGGGCAGAACAGTCCGGATTCTCCTTTCTCGCCCCAACTTTCACCATCTCCTTCTGACTGAATCCCTCCCATCCGCACCTCCACGTGATTTAACAAAAAGAGACAAAGAAAACAGAAGCAGAAACGAGCTTTCATTCCACACAAGAACCCACCCCTGTTTCTTTCTCCCGACACAAAACCACCTGTACTGATGTCATGAGGAACAGACGAATTAATATTTGCAAAGCACTTAGGACAGAACCTTACATCTCCTCACCAACACCCTCGCCCTCCCATCCCGACAGCGCCCACGGCGCCCACTCAACTCCCTCTCTACAAGGTTATTCACAATAACTTTGGGTAAATTCAATTACTTTTTGGTCTTAATCTTACTTGACTTCTTGACAACACTTGACATAGCACTTTTTTCGTCTTTTCTTCTGTTCTACCTCTTTAACCCCTCTTGATCTGTCTCCTTGAAGACACACACACACACACACACACACACACACACACACACTCCATTCACTTTCCCCTAAATGTCCATCTGCATGTCCGGCGCTTCTTGCTCCTCACTCTACAGGCGCCCAATGGCCTCAGGTGTCATCTACGCGCTGAAGTCCTCCATCTCTCCCCCAACCCCTGGATGCAAATGACCAATCCCTTCCGCACGTCTTTCAGATGCTCAGACCCAGTAAGACCTACACTGAACCGTCCTCTCAACCTGCTCCTCCTGTTTTGTACACAGTGAGGAGCATCCCCTCTACCCCATCACACAAGCCGGAAACCTGGGCCTGCCCTTGCGCCTGCCCTGTCCCTCACCTTCATATGCATCCATCAACCCCCGGAGCAGGCTCACTCCCATCTCCCAAAGCAGTGCTCCTCCGAGTGTGGTCCTGGTCCAGCAGCATCAACTTCACCTGAGACCCGAAGAACCAGAACAGGAAACTCGGGGGCGGAGCCCGTGATGTGGGTGTTAACAAGTCCTCCAGGTGAGCCCAATGTCCGCTGGAGTTTGCCAATCACTCACCCAGGAATCATTAGAATCCCACTTTTTCATCCCCCATTCCCACTTCCCTTCCTGCATTATTGCACGTCTCCCTCAGAATCTCCTAGCTTCCAAGCCATCCCCATAGAGCACCCCCAGTCCATACTCCCCTCACCCCAAATGCTCTCTCTGAATCATGGATCTGACCACACTGTACTCCCCCACTTAAATCCGCCAGTGGCAGCCCGGCTAGCGT